CTTCTGCCCCTGCGACCCTGCAGCCTCCCAGCAAAGTGGAGCTGTTTGGGCTGGAAAAGCTGTCACTGAACAGTGTGGACATTGGATCTGCTTTCTAGACATTTTCAGCTCTGTGGAAGGCATAGCTTGTGCCTTTAAAAAGTTGTTTCACCACTTTCACAGCGCATAAGCCAGATTTTGCAATATCATGGGAATTGTATGAAATGAAAACTTATCAATACTGAGATATATTCCGCTACAACAGAAATAAGAACAACCGTAGTGATCTAACAGCTGAAGTCAATTTTCTTGTTCTCTAGCCCGTTACTAGAGATTCCCCAACGCTCTCCTGTAGAAAACATGATCCCGGGGAGCGTTGGGTGATGGGACAAACCCACCCATCCCAGCCTAAACTCTATAACCCTGAGTGCATCGTGTGCCCGCATTGTGAGTGTTAACACATGCACTTTTGGGGGTTCTTTGTTGTTTGTGCATCAGGTTTAAACATTTTTGCTTGTGCTTTCCAGGCCCCCAAAGTTCTCTGACTCAGATTGATTCTCTGACATTAACGTCTGTTATTGTTTTGCTTTAATTCTCAGCAGGAGTGAGCCAGCTTTGCTCCTTTTCTTGAGCTTTCAACCAGGCTGCCTTCTCCTATGGCATTCCCTCCTTTTGTATTACCTGGAAGAAACAAATTATATTGTCCCAGCCACCAGCAAACTGTTACAGAACCATTAAGGTAACTACGTTACCTAATTGAGCGAATTGAGTAATGCGAGATCTTGTTATTATAACCTTTGTCCTTAAAAAATGTGAACTAATAGAAGCCAGCTGCTAAATTGGCCCGCAGCCATCTAGTTTTCCTAAAGATCATGATTCACGGCGCTTCACAAAAGCCGTCGGAGCCGGCCGTGGGATGAGTGATTTGTTTGAGGGCGATACCTGTATTTCTGGGAAGGCTCCAGGGCACCGGGGAAGCTTGTGAGCTCGGTGCCACCGTGAGCTCTTCCCCAACCAGCTGGGCCAGCTTCCCTCCTTTACGGGGAGAGGAGGAGGGTGCCAGGTCAGAGGCACACGCCGAGCGGAGTGTTACCACACAGGGACCTCACGACAGCCTCGCAGAGGAGTCTTTTCACCCTCAACCCAACCCTGATAACAGCCCCCCTCCTCTCCCAACCTTTGGCCACGTCGCCATCAACGTCTGTCGCCGTCTTCATCTCCACAACATATTTATATTTTTTTTTAAAGGGGCTTTTTTCGAGGGAAAAGATCAATAAACCCCTCCGTGTTTCCAAACAGCTGCAGCTGGAATGACCTTTTGGCAGCTGTTTCCTAAATTGTTGATAACTCGGCACGAATGTTAAGAACAATCTGGGCTCTTCGCAGGGGCTGGAACGCTTTGGGATCTGAGTGTTTCCAGAAAACAAATCTTAGAAGTCTGTGTCCTGCCGATTGGTGGGGTTGGACGTAATCCTGGGCAGCACGGGAGGAAGCCTGTGTGGAGGGAGCAGGGAAGAGCAGGTTTGATTGCAGGATTTAGGGAAAGCGAAAAATCAGGGCAAAGAAAACAGCTCCAGCGCTCAACACTCACCACGGTGCCCGAGGAACAGAATTCCCTGCCTCGATGGGGAAGACAAGAAAAAGGGACACCAAAACTACAGTTTTATACTCTAATTCTACCCAAATAAACCAATGCTCTCATGCTCTCCAGGTTATAAAGTACTTTCCTTAATGTTCCACCTCCTTCCCGATTCCCCAGGTTACACACTTTGCCACATGAAAGTTTTTGGGACAAATCCCATGATTTTGGACACCTGCGGCCACAGTTTAAGGGAGGGAGTCAAGCAATGCCAAGAGCCTGCAGACCTGTCTTCCCAAGTGGCCAACTTATAAAAGGCTGAGTATATGCTTTGGGAACTTTATTCTGTGTGTGAGAGAACCTGATACGCTCTTTGAAGAAAATGTGAGATAGCTAAAAATGATGTTGTGTTATTCAATGACAGAGTCAAAGCAAACCACAACACATTTGTGATTTTTTCACCAAAAGGTGCACTAACACTTGCTTTAGGGGACTGGTATCCAATAGGTTAGACTCAAAAAATAGCCCAAACAACTAGTATCGGAAAACAGAAGCATGAAAAGATATTAAGTGACTCTATGAATGTTTGATTTGGGTGCTCCGAGAGACAAATAATTCCATCTGGGCCATCTGGGCTTTTTGTTCAAAGCTCAGAAATAACACTAATACTAATTAATGTCCTAGATGATGAAGCTGTTTGGATTAAGCCCATCACACGTGCTCCTCCTGCAAATGTATATTCACATTTGCATGGTATTTGCGTGCAGAACATGATTTTATTTACTGTTTCCTAGTAACCCTTTATTGGCTAATGATGCGATGTCTTTGTTTTGCCTTCCTTTTCCAGCTGTGGGGCTTCCTCTTCCATTTCCCTCCCCTCACATGGATTCTTTTCCAGGAAATGCTGTTCCACAGAGCCCAGAGCGACATCAAAGTGTGGAGTCTCCAGGTGGGTGTCATCTGGTTTCAAAAAGGAGGTGGGAATATGGTCTCCTTGACCCTGTTCCTTCAATTAGAGTATTTCAAAGATCAGCCCAGGCCTCATTTTTGGTATCATCTCTGCATGGTGCTATTCGAGTTGTAAATGAAAACTAAATAAATGATGTCACACCTGTGAAGGGACTATCAGACAAGGCGTTTAGGAGGACATCCAAAGACATCCGCCGCAGTGCGGTACTTTGGGAAGTATTTTAGTGCTTTTCCCCAACTTCTGGAGCACTGTGTCCAGTTCTGGGCTCCCCAGTTCCAGAAGGACAGGGAACTGCTGGAGAGGGGACAGCAGAGGGCTACGGAGATGATGAGGGGCCTGGAGCATCTCTCTTAATGAGGAAAGGCTGAGGGACTTGGGGTTTTTTAGTCTAGAGAAGAGAAGACTGAGGCAGGGAACTAATCAATGCCTATAAGTACTTCAAGGGTGGGTGTCAGGAGGATGGGGCTGGTCTTTTTTCAGTGGTGCCCAGTGATGGGACAAGAGGAAGTGGACACAAACTTGAATGTAAGAAGTTCCATCTCAACATGGGGAGGAACTTCTTTCCTGTGAGGGTGGCAGAGCCCTGGAACAGGCTGCCCAGAGAGATGGTGGAGTCTCCTCTGGAGACATTGAAAACCCCATTGCACACGTTCCTGTGCAATCTGCTCTGGGTGGACCTGCTCTGACAGGGGGTTGGACTGGGTGATCTCCAGAGGTCCCTTCCAACCCCATAGCATTCTGTGATTCTGCTGAGAAAATGGGTGGAAAACACAGCTGGAGAAATGCCCCAAATGCCTACCTTTGCATGGGGCAATTAAGAGACAGATTTCTGGTCACATACTTAATGTGGGGTGATCAAACCTTCCCTAATGAGGAACTGAAGTGGTCAGTGAGTATAAGACAGGTTTCCATGTCCGAGAGTTTTTTCCATAATGCGGTTTCTGTGTGATCCCTCTGTATGGACTGCATTAGAAGGGCAGCAATTACTGGAGGAGAAGATGAGGTTATGCAGCAAGGCTTTATTTCAGATATTATACCTAGCCGTGTATACAAAATAATTGAAGGCAGATAGAGTGGCTGCCAGAAACGTCAAACTAACTTAGAGGGCAAGAGACTCAATGAACAACAGGCGCAGAGATTTGCCAAAATGCATTTTTCCAGCACCACATCATATCAGCCCGGGCTAGGTCTGCTTATTTTGCTTATCCAGGACAACAGCACAAAAACGTCGTGTACTTGGGGAAAAGAAGAGAACACGGGCTGCATCAAAGCAGAGCGTAAGAAAATAGTTACGAAAAATCTATTACTGGGGCTTGTGTGATATGAGTTACTCAAGATGGGAAGACTTCCATGGTGAGATCTGGAGGTAGACACTAAACCAAACAGCTCCATGGTTGTCCGTCTTTTCAAAAACAGCAGGCAGGGGAGGAGAAAACATCAGGGTTTTTTTTTGAAAATATGAGAAATAGCCACTGAAGTTGGTAGTATCGACAGAATAGAAATGGAATTTAATGCGGCAGCATTGCGTGAGAAGAAAAAGGCCTGGGTTCCTGGCCTAAGGAGGACTCATAAAGCAAAGATTAGATCCATTTGCTTTATAAAATGGAAAAGGGAAGTCACTGGAGACATTCAAAAAGGGGATGAGGAATTGTCCAGTGCAATTTCCTGGCCTGTAAGGACGCCTAGAAAGCATGCAGTGTCTGTGACAGGTTGGTCAGAGCCCGTGGGAGGGTGTTACGGGACATGAGGGGTAGGAGAGGCGATGGCTGGGTTTTAAATTGCCTTTAATTGACACTAGAGAGGAAGGAATCTGAGAGTTATGGAGCTTCCCGTCGCTTTGCTGGGGATGTGAAGCTGGTGGAAACACCTCCCGTGACTGTAAGAAAGGTTTTGGAGTAACGGAAAAGTAGTGGAAAATACTTTGTGAAGAGGGGGTAGGAGATAGCTGCCTGGGAAACTGAGGACAAGGGGATTTAGGGATCCAGCCTTGGAGACCTGTTCCAAGAGGCTCCCTGGCTCTCCAGGGACTGGAAGGGGCTCTGAGGTCTCCCCGGAGCCTTCTCTTCTCCAGGCTGAACCCCCCAACTCTCTCAGCCCCCCCTCCCAGCAAGGGGCTCCAGCCCTCCCAGCATCTCCAGGGCCTCCTCTGGCCCCCCTCCAACAGCTCCATGTCCTTCTGCTGTTGGTGGCCCCAGAGCTGGAGGCAGCACTGGGGGGGGGTCTCCCCAGAGTGGAGCAGAGGGGCAGAATCCCCCCCTGGCCCTGCTGGCCACGGGGCTGGGGGTGCAGCCCAGGGTGCGGGGGGTTTCTGGGCTGCCAGAGCAGGTTGCCAGGGTGTGTTGAGCTTCTCATCGACCAAATTATTAATTCCCTGCCTGAGAGCCAATAACACGTTCATAAAAATAAAAGTCCACTGGAAGAAGGAGCAGAGGGTGCCCGGCCAGGGCAGCAGGACCTTGCCAAGGGAGGCAGCTCTGCAAGGTGCTGGGCTCCACGTGAATAAGGAAGGGTTTCAGCGTTAAAGCGCGCCCTGCCCTCTCTCTATCTGATATAATTACAGGAGAACCTTTAAAACCCCGTCCTTGGCACCGTCTGTAAGCACCACAGCTGGCAGCCACAGCCAAACAGAAGTATGTGAGCCCCTCCCATGCCTCTTGCAGCCTTGGCACCGCGCTGCGCGAGGGACGCTCTGCCACATTTGCTTGATAATCGACTCATCCAGCAACCTAAATATCCCCACATTTGGATAGAAATCACTGCAGGGTTATGCTCAAGCTGTACAAGTGAGTGGAATCAATCAAAATCAGACCCAAGAAAGTAACTGGTGTCTCTTAAAACTGTGCAATTCTAGGTGTGACTGAACCATTGTCTGCTTCCTACAGAGATAAACCTCATGCTTTTTGATATTTGGTGAAGGCTGGAGCCTTATTAATTACCTTATTCAATAAATATTACTGTTGTGCTTTCTTTGACCGATACCATAGATACTACTTTTGTGCTTTCTTTGAATAATATCCAGTTGAAGAGAAGAAAGAATATGGTTTTGATTCAGTTTTAGCTTTTAAAAAGCATAAACCAAAAAAAAAAAAAAAAGAGAAATCCCAGAAAGAGGAATATGGTTTTGATTCCGTTTTAGCTTTTAAAAAGCACAAACCAAAAAAAAAAAAAAAAAAAAGAGAAATCCCAGAAAATCTTCTTTCCAACTTTGAAAAATAAGGAATTAGGAGGGAGCCATGAATCCAATGAATCCTCCTTATTCTGCTCTCCAGATTTCTGTAGGGTCTGCGGGTGATAGTTGCCTTTCAAGCTAATGTTTTGGCTCCCTTCTTTTTTTTTTCTCTACTCTCTACCCTGTCTTGGCAGTCTGTTTTAGGAAAAAAATATCACATACAGAGTTTTTTTGGAGGTGGGCAGAGTATTTTGTGCCGCAGAGCGATTGTTATTTATAAGTTTTAGGGAAGTTAGGGATCTTCCCCAACTGTTTGGAGTGCAAAAAGCTGGTGGTGCTGCAGAACACTGTTATGCATTATAGATCCCCTCTCACTCAGAAGAAGGATGCAGTAACGTTCAGAAATAACGTAGAAAAGTGAAGGAAAACTCAAAATAAAAGGTATGAAACAGCAAAAGATCCGATGTACTTACTAGAAATGACACTTACCAGTTTAAGATTAAATTAAGAAATTAATTTAAAATCTCAAATGTCAACACCGTGGTACTTCTGCTTAGAAGATGTTCATGGTTTTAAATTAATTCTGGTGCTTAGTGTTATGAAATACACGGAATTGAATCAGAAACTGAGTAACAACAAAATTATATAAAACTACCAGAATCGAGTTCTCAGTTTCTTAAGGAAAAGTACCTGCTGACATTAGTTGGTGCAAATGCAAAACCAGGCCATAAATCTTTATTTCAGGCATGGCCAATGTAACCTTGAATGTAAATATTAAAAATAGCAGCAGTTATTAAAAAAATTCTATAGAAATGTGTAATAAATTAGTTCCAATCAAAGGGAAGACCGTAGTTAATACGTAAAATTTAACCCCGTAGCCTGTCTGTGAAGTATTTTAACTATTAGGAGTTTAATGTCAATTGCTGGATATTATTTCTGATCATTTAGAATGTTTACAAGTATAAAATAAACTGTATTTGCTGGTCAGTTGAGAATAATGTATTATGGGCTCTCTAGCTGAGAGCCTGAGATGAATCTTGAGTTACAATCAGGGTTTCTAAGGGTTTATCTGTGCAGCTGGGTGAAAGGAGCACGTTATGCTGCTATAAACACCTTTATTTTTTTATGAATGCAGCCACTCTCACCCCTCTGTGCGGATGAAAAGCTCTAACTGAAATATTTAGTACAAATCTATGTGGAAATCAGGCCTCCCTGGAACACACTGAATTCATTTGCTGAGACCTACTAATTAGGACCCGTTTGTGTAATGATGTTTACTTCACATGACCAATAGGAAGAAACTGAAATCGTCAATGTAATTATTGAAGTGAGTTCAAATTGGCCATTCCATTCGCGGATATCTGGAAATCTGACTAGTAACTACATTCCTCTATGATGATGTAAATAACTGGATATCTCTCTGCCATTTTATATTCCTGTGATCCAAACACACAGAAATAAACATCCATTTTCAGAATTGAAGGCATCTAAAAGCCTTTCTTGCTACTGGAAAAAATATTTCTCTGTGTTATGAAACTGGAAACCTGCTGACATAGTTTTGCTGGGATGGTAAATCTCTAACGCCTTGCAAAAGCTTTTATGTGATCCCGTATAAATAAGTCTTCCAAGACCTTTCAGAAATCATATAAAGCCAGAACCCACAGCCCCATCTACTGCAGTAACGTGCGTAGGTGTTCAGTAAGGTCATCAGGATGTCATTTCAAATGACAACACAGAAAACCTAATAAAGAATTATTGTGAAAGAAATAAGGACCTGGAATTTTAGAATTCCAGGGAGATGCATAACGCTCCATTATGGCTGCGGTCTGAAGTAAATCAATTTATTTAAGACCTAAGAATGGATTCAAACCAACATAAAGAACCACTTCAGTTCACCATGGGCTTTTTTTCCCAATGATTTTAATAATTGTGGATAAAACACCTTCCTGGGCTCCACTGGGCAGAGCATCACCAGTGGGTGGAGGGGCTGGTCCTTCTAGAGACTACCAAAAATTGATAGGAAGATTTGTGGGAAGGGAAAAGGGAAAGGAAAAGGGAAGCCTTGGAAGTTTCCCAGTCCCCATCGTTCCATTGCTTTGGAACAATTAATGCATCATTACCTCTTTCTGCAAAGCAGAGGCTCCACATTCCTGCTCCTTCCTCCCTCTGAGCCCCAGCTCTGTCCTCCCACGCCTCAGCAGCTGTGTGAACAGGCTCTCCAGTGCCTGCGAAAAACATCCTACAAAGGGGATTTTCTCTGTGATAAATGTGTGTTTGATGACAGCTAGCTCCTTTTTTTTTTTTTTTTTTTTCATATTTATTAATCTGTTTAATTTTCTTACACAGCCTTGGTAGTTATTTTTTTACTTTGCAGTTCTGCTTTGTTTTGCTTGTTGTTTCACTGCAGCATTGAGAAATCTGGATGAGTCTCAACAAATAAATCAGGGAACTCTCATTTGGGGATAAAATGCATGATGCAATAGTGTTCCATTTCCTGAACCTTTCCTTTCATTTAACATTTCGAAGATGACGTTTAGTGCTAAAACTGCCTATGGAGGAGTGTGTTAGAAGGTTGAGGATTAAAATAAAAAAATGTGTATAAAATGGAGACATAGATAAGGTGAAGATGGAACATCATAAAGACATTTGAATGGAAATTAGTTTAACACGGGGATATTCCATTTAAACCCAACAACCTTTGTTTTTTGATGGTGGGGTTAAGTGAGGAATATATCAATGCTGAGATCATGGAGCAGTGGTTGGAACATATGTGGAGGAGGAACATATGTGACCAGGTGAGTTAGGGATCAAATGTGGTGTATGCAAACTGTTAACGCAGCACAGGAGAAGGTGATTAAGAAGAATTCCTAATTCCTGTGACCTTTTGCAGGTGGGACCAAGGGGAGGTCCTGTCTGTCTCCCTCAGCTGGGTGTCCTTTGGCAGAGCTACCTCTGGAAATGGGGCCTGGGGGTTTCAGGCACGTGCTCGGCCGCTGTTCCTGGGGATGGTTTTGTTTCTCTAACCCAGAGAAGGCTCTCAGTGACAGCGTTAATGTGTAAGCTGTGTGTTAGTCTTTATCAAGAACACGCATAAACCCAGGGGGATAAAACCTCCCAGTCTCCGGAGCGGTCCTGTGTGCTGGGTTCCCAGCAGTTATGTTGCTGTGCAACCCTTACTTCTTGAAATAATGCCAATTTCAATACCGAAATCTTGAATAATTTCTTTTTCCTCTCAGGGAGAGGGGAAGGTTACGACCCACAACTCTGTCTTTTGGGGGATGTCATTTACCCACCTCAATTTAAGCCACTTTAGGGCTGAAGTGCCTCCAACCTTCCTGAGATACGGGGCAACGACGGCATTTCATTAGGCCACCTACAAAGTGAAATATAAAGGTAAGGACACAGCAAATACCTTCCTCTTATTGGTTCCTACTTACTGCCTTTGGACGTATTTAGAAATGAGTAGAATTTTTTAGAAATTTTTTAAAGAATAGAATAATGGAATGGAATAGAATAGGGTTTTTTTAGAATAGAATTTTTTAGAGAAGGGAATAAGCTGAGCAATCCTGTGTTAATGTAGGAAGACTTTATTGGGATACCTCAGTTTCCTCCTGTATTTTATGATGCACCACTGTTGATGGAGTTAGCAGCTCTATGTAAATTAAATATACACATAACTACTGAGATAAGCATCTTTTTTTATGGATCTAGACCTTCATCCATACATGACTCAATTTCATTTTGTCAAATGGTGATTAGCATTACGCTATTAAATAAAATTTTCAAATTTTATGAAATACTTTATCAGTTAAGAGAGAAATATAGCTTGAATTATTTCGTGCCCTGTAACACTACAAAATACCAGCATAATGGTTGAGATGTGAAGGGTCAAATCTTAGTTCTTTAACAGAAATGCAAGTGAAAAACAATCCTGAAAACTTAAAAATCCAAAATAAGAATATGAGAATGAACACAGGGAAATACTCTATCAAAAATCTGTGAGCCATATGGGACCAGAATGAGCCCTGGTGAGAACCTGAGTATTTTCATAAACGTGGAGTGAATCTGACTGGATCATTCCACCTTTCTAGGTCCCTGTACCACACCACGTTTCAAGTCACTATTCTGTCTAAGTAGGGCTCGTTCAGTGTAGGAAAGTCCAAATCTCTTATAGAATCACATTTATTTTGACAAATTTCAAAGAAAAAAGTCATTAGAATAAGTCTGTTCTTATTTTATTAGTAATGCTAAGGTTTCTTTTGGCAAAATGAATGTGTTTCATTCTGAATTTGCTTTGTTATTGTTTATTTTGGCTTTTATATTCTATTAGTTGTGTTATGACATAGTGTAGTTTCTGTTATACAGAGTATTTCTTGATATGTTTCAATTTTCTTACAGGTTTTTTTCCCCAGAACTTCCTATTTCATATTCTGTGAATAATTGTGAAATTTCCTGACTACAAATTCCTTTACAGTAATAAAATTAGATGCAAAAGGTGCATTTTCCATTAAATTTGACTTCAAATCCTCAGCCAGGCTTCTTAGACCAATGCATTTAGATAGATCGTCTGCCTGGAGAACAAGTATAGATAATATTAGATAATACTAGACTGCAATCCCAGGAGTGAAACCTTCCATTCAACCCCCCCCATAATTTTTAATGTCTTCCAATTATTGCCTTTTCTTTTCCTTTAGACCATGAAGCTCCCACAAGATACTGCGGTGTGTGCTGTACAAAAGTTTATTAGCTACACCGGGATATGATAAAAACATTCTCCTCCCAGTTTTGGAGGGAAATTGGGTATTGGCTTGTGAATCCCCCGCCGAGGTGCAAAGAACTACATCATCCGTTTCTAAGCAGCTGAGACAGCAAAATCCAGAAGGTAATTTAGAGTATTGCAGCAGAAGTCTTCAACAGAGTTTAATTAAAGTGTTCTGGTGATCTGAAGATATCCATAACCCAGCGCTAAAATTAAAGAAGTCCCCGTCCACAGAATTTGTTCTCAGGCTCCCGATGCCAGTTGGCGCCGTTGTGCGTAAATACATATCACCTGTGTAAATCTCCAGTTAATGGCCAAAATACAGCATGGTTGTTCAACCACCTCCAAGGAAGCGATGCAACGCCAAGATAGGAGGCACCTGGTCCCAGCTGGTTGATTCAGATCACAGGAGTGAGGCGTTCTCTGCCTAAGATTTCTGTGCGCTTGATGGAGAGAATGAGGTGGGTGATCTAAAGGGGAAACATTTCTGCTGAGCTGCTTGGGGCTTACGAGTAAGAACCACAGGATGAGAGAGTTGGGGGGGGTCAGCCTGGAGAAGAGAAGGCTCCGGGGAGAACTTAGCGCCCTTTCCAGTCCCTCAAGGGGCTCCAGGAGAGATGGGGAGGGACTCTGGATCAGGGAGGGGAGCCCTAGGGCGAAAGGGGAAGGGTTTGACACTGAAAGAGGGGAGATTGAGGGGGGATCTGGGGAAGAATTTCTTTGCTGTGAGGGTGGTGAGAGCCTGGCCCAGGTTGCCCAGAGAAGCTGTGGCTGCCCCATCCCTGGAGGGGATCAAGGCCAGGTTGGAGGGGGCTTGGAGCAACCTGGGCTGGTGGGAGGTGTCCCTGCCCAGGGCACGGGGTGGCACTGGGGGGGCTTTAAGGTCCCTTTCAACCCAAACCATTCTGTGATTCTATGATTCTAAATATCACATAAATCTGAGCCCTGTGCTCTGAGTGTTGTTCATTTGGCTCCACCAGCCCTTCTTAGCACCAGTGTCTCACCAGAGTGGAATATTTGGCTATTTAAAAGGCAGATGTTAATGGGGCTGGAATCACTATGACATGCACTATCCTGTGGAACTCGCTGCCATTGGATGTGATGGGAATTTCACATGGGTTTGAAAAATGATCAATGAAATTTAGGTCAATTGGACCCCAGGTTACCATCACTGAAGGTGAGATAGCAAAATATGGAAGAATTTATATAAATACGTATACACACAGATATATATATATATATGTTCTGTTCTGGTTACCATCAAAGATGGGATTTTAGAATATGTGAAACTTTGTTTAGAGGGAGTACAATTGTATTTTCAGTATTCTGGCAGGACAATAATGTCTTTTAAGTTAACCAAATGTATTCCACACCTTTTTCAGAACATTTTTTAGGAGAAAACAGATTGTTTTTGAAGAATGCTTAGATTTTTTTAACCTTATTTAAGTATATTCCATTCTGTCTTTCTCTCTCTGTCAATATTCATTCAACAATCAAAATAGATTTATGTGTGTGTACATACATACATATCCTGCATACCTTTCTGTACGTAGGAAATAATCCCGTTCCCTGTGTCACTTATTTCTATTTGAAAGATAAATTACCCCATTAAAAACTCCCCAAACTGGTACAACCTGGCAAAAGGGCAACAATATTTACAGAGTGAGTTTATGTTTTTCTTCCTGGCTTAGGTGACATTAGGTGGGGCTGATAGAATTCAGTGCCAAGAAAAGCATATATATGTATCTTAAAGTGCCTTTTAATGAACTTATCTGATTCTGTAACTTCAAAAACAATACTCTTGTTTAACTGAGAAGAAAGAAATTCTGATATGTGAAAGTTTTAGCACTTCTACAGTAAAAGTTTTTTGTTCTTTCTTCTCCTGGATTTAGTGAGATTAAGGTCAAGTCCAGTTTCTCTGTGATTCCAAATGAATTTCAGACAAGCTGGAGGCATTTAGTGGCTCTTGTGCTTCTCAGGACTGAGAATCTGGTATGATTGTGTTCCTGCACAGTAAAGACAATTCAACCACAGAGTTTATAACATGGTTCAAAACAACAGACAGCCAATATTTTATAGGGCATGAAGGAAGAAGAGAGTACTGGTTGGAACAGGCTTTCATAAATGTGTTATTTTCACAAATTACAGAGTTACGAGGCAATAAAAATATGCTAAAAGTATCCTCTGCCTCTGTTAATGCCTGTTGACCTGCTTGAATTACGTAAAAGAACAAGTGTTTTTCACAAAGGAGGAGGAGAAGAGCACAGAGCGGCTTATTATCATTGGATGGGCTATTCCTGAATATATTGATTTATGGATTTTTATGTGGATTTTTTTACAAGTAAACCTGGTTATTCCTTTTCATTAAATTCAAGGCTGTCTTCTGTATGGCAGAAACACATTCTACCTCAGTTATGTAGGGACTTCCCAGGCATAAGGCACAAACGTGGCCTCTATGTGTTCTCCTGGAGGTGGGAGCTGTAGATTTAAACCCAGTAAAGGGCAGAGCTGGGCTGGAGCCTCCAGATTTCCTTTGGAGAATTTTTCTGAGGTCATTTTTCTTTTGTGCAGCCCTGGGCCTGTGGATGGAGCATTTGTTTGCTCAAAGTTTTCAGAGTACCTTCTACACATGAGATGTGAGGGGTGGATCTTGGCACTGCTGACGGTTCCTTTTTTTTCCATATCTGTTTTGGCCTTTTTTTAGTTTCTGGGCTCTGGCTCAAAGTTTTTAACCACATCTGGCATCTGGAGCAGAGAAAGTTCAAGGCAGGATGTCTCAACAGCCGGCAAAGATGGCCAAAAATGTAGAGAGTAACTATGTGCAAATTCAAAACCATACGCTAGGAATCTAGGAATCAAGACAAATCAAATATTGCATGACTAAATGTAATCCAATGAAGCTAAGGCACACATGGATTATTTCATGCCGATTCACTCCAGTATATGAGTAATCAGGCAGAGCCGACACGGTAGCAAACTCAGAAGGGAGAGAGAGAGAGATGGAGAAATCAGCAAAGTTGGAGAAAACATCAGTTATTGGGAAAACGCTTTGCTTAACACCTTTAATTTATTGCACAAATTCATTGCATGGCTTCCTTCTGCTGCTGTGAGAACAAATAATCAGCCTGAAGGATCAGAGGTGTGTCTGTATGAGCCTTTTGCCCTACCTCTTCCAACCGTTACTGGTAGTGAGGAAGAGGTCCATAAAAATATGAAAGTGCCAAAAGTGGCTCAAGTATCTAAATCCAAGGCTGTGATTCCCCAAAACCCTGCTGAACGGCGTTAGGGACGATGTTTCTGGAAGTAAAACTCCTCTCATGCAGATTCCACTCTTCCCTTCAGTGATTGATATCTTGTTTGGATCAAGACTGGTCATTGTTTGAAATTGAGATCTAATTGGTAGCCTGAAAATCAGCATTTCTCTGCCCGAGAACTGACCTGTCTTCCTTCACATTAACTTCAGACAAAACATGGTTGTTTTGGCCACTTGCTTTAAGTTTAAAGGGTAAGTAGGAGAGATGAGCTATGTTCTTATAACTAAACGATCATTTTATGTAGCTGTAGGAACAGCCAGGCTTAGGAGAGGTATTTTTGATGTTTCGTTGTTTTTAAGCTTTTAAGTTAAAATACATACCAACGTGATTCATCTAAACTGTAAACTAAATCATTCCTTGCCAGGGCTGCTTTTTCGCCCTGTGGGGAAGAAAACAAATCCTGAAATCAACTCAATTAGGAAACCCATCTTGTCCTAAGTGGAGATTAATTATTGCATATGGAACATGCTGACGTGGACTTCAGGAAGGGCACAGAAAGAAATAAGAGGGATAGATGCAGAAATAAAGTAGAAAGGTCTAAGAGTCAACGGAATTCTTATTTGGGCTTGTTTTTTATTTAACCTGTAAGTTGTATCAGCAGTAGATGGCAGTTATCATGACATTAACTCATTGTGACTAGTGTTTAAAAAGGGTATTTTGAGGGAAAAAAAGAGGTAAATAAATACAGCTGAATATCAGCCTGCTTTGAGACAACTGTTCTCTGTTCTTCTGGAATCAGATAGCATTTTTTGGTCACGGAATCCAACTGAATTTTCAATGCTGTAATTATGAAAGGCACGTGGAGTCAGAGTTAATGTCGAATAAGAAAACCAGAACTGGAGAGAAAGAGCCAGAAAATGAGGAAAGGAAATAAACACACAGTATGTGGTAACCACAACTGAGTAAATCATAAAGGTAAAACACAGATGGAGTATCCTTTGAGAGGGAAGTTGCAACTAAACCTCTGTTTCTTCCAAATTTCCAAAAAAAAAAAAGGCTCATGTGTTATTCCCAGATGTTTAAGAAATCAGACTATCCAAATATGTCAGAAAATGCCAACTTCATATTCAAATTGTAAGAACTTAGTAGGTTTGTTTAGAGATGGTCTTTAGTACAATCACTGGCAAATAAACAAGTCAACAAAAAAGCAGATTTACCCCTTAGGGCTATTTTTTTCCTTCAGTTCAGGAAGACAGGACAGGAAGCCTGTCATGGGTTTTGTCTACATGTGCCATTGAAGAAGGCCAGTACCCTGACTTTTGAAGAGTGGGCATTCTGGTATGATCTTCTGTTCCCTAAGAACTCTTGACAGAAAGCAGCAAAATAGTTATTGCTCGAAGGCGAAGTGCTGAGCTGGCTCTTTGACCCTCCCTCTCCTCTCTCCTGTTGAGCAGCTACTTTTGCTTCCCTTCTTAAACGTGTTCTCCCACCATCGCTGATGGGCTTGACCTTGGCCAGTGGTGGGTCCCTCTTAGAGCCGGCTGTCACTGGCTGTGTTGGACAGGGGAAACCTTCTAGCAGCTTCTCACAGAAGCCACCACTGTAGCCCCCCCACTACCAAAACCTTGCTATAGAAACCAAATACAACCCTTTACTTCAGTTTAGGGACAATAACGGGAAGGATTCCGCTGCTTAAACATAAGCAGCCACATCATTTTAGATGCTTTAAGGAATCTTAGAGACTGGTTGGCAGATGTGACATAGGGCACTCAAGAAATCCAGATTTTCAGGAGCAGCAGTGAAAATGTAGCCTTGAATGTCACCCTAGGACACAACGCTGCCCAAATACAAAAAGTGGAGATTTCCTGTAAATAGATGAAGTTCTCCGTGGTGTAAAGACTGTCACATCCTGTCGATAGTCCTTGCAGTCCTGAGGTCTGAGAATTATGCTGAGGTGACTGAGCTCTTATGTGCATGTGTCTGTGTGTCATGCAGAGGCGTAGGTGGGGACAAGGAGTTAACGAGTTCACGGTGACACGGAACCTTTGAGATCACGTGGATGATTGACTCTCAATCCACTGGGGAGCAATTTTAGACAAAGCCTAGTGCTCTCTCACCTCGGAGCGACTCATGCTCAAGGCATCCTTGCTGTGGAATAACATAAGGTGATAAATCAAAAGCAATTTAAATATTTCATCTGTCACACC